TGAGCTCGTCGACTTTGCTGCTCGCTGTCGTCTCGACTACGCTGCTAGTCTTGTTGCTGAGTCTGCGTCTGTCTGTCCTCCGTCCGTCGGGGGTGAGTGTGCTCTTGGCACGGACGTCCTAGAGGACAGGCAGGAGGAGTTACAGTGTCTAGCGGCTGCTTCACCTCATCTCGCGTCTGTACTGCTTGCCCCTGAGGGAGACCCGGATGCACTAGACATCCCGACTCCGCGTTCTTACGCGGAGGCCGTAGAGGGTCCCTACTCCTCTCAGTGGCAGGCAGCTATGGATGCAGAGATGGCTTCCTGGAAGTCCACAGGCACCTACGTTGACGCAGTTCCCCCTCCTGGGGCGAACATCGTCAGTGGCATGTGGATCTTCAGGGTGAAGCGGCCGCCGGGCTCTCCACCTGTCTTCAAGGCACGGTACGTTGCTCGTGGCTTCAGTCAGCGGCAGGGAGTTGACTACTTTCAGACCTTCTCTCCCACCCCGAAGATGACTACTCTTCGGGTGCTGCTGCACATAGCCGCTCAGCGCGACTACGAGCTTCACTCTCTCGACTTCAGCACTGCGTTCTTGCAGGGTAGCCTGCACGAGGAGATCTGGCTTCGCCGTCCACCTGGCTTCACTGGGACTTTCCCTCCTGGCACCCAGTGGAGCCTCCGACGGCCAGTCTACGGTCTCCGCCAGGCACCGCGTGAGTGGCACGACACACTGAGGACTACACTTGCGGCTCTTGGGTTTGCTCCTTCTACTGCTGACCCGTCGCTGTTTCTTCGCACCGACACTTCCCTGCCGCCGTTCTACATCCTCGTGTACGTCGACGACCTGGTCTTTGCCACAGCGGACACTGCTGGACTCGCCTACGTGAAGTCCGAGCTGTTGAAGAGACACACGTGCACAGACCTGGGTGAACTGCGCAGCTACCTTGGCTTGCAGATCACTCGGGACAGAGCACGCCGCACCATTACCTTGACTCAGTCACACATGGTGCAGCAGGTCCTTCAGCGCTTCGGCTTCACGTACTCCTCGCCTCAGGCCACTCCTCTGCCTACTCGCCACTCACTCTCAGCTCTGCCTTCGGATGAGTCCGTAGAGTCGAGTGGTCCGTATGCGGAGCTTGTTGGCTGCCTCATGTACCTGATGACCTGCACACGACCTGACCTTGCATACCCTCTGAGCATTCTTGCACGCTATGTTGCTCCTGGGAGACACAGACCGGAGCACATGGCTGCAGCGAAGAGGGTATTGCGCTACCTGTGCAGTACGTCAGGCATGGGGCTAGTGCTTGGAGGGCGGAGTCCAGTGGTCCTTACCGGCCACGCGGACGCGTCTTGGGCTGACGACCAGGCTACGCAGCGGTCGTCACAGGGTTACACCTTCAGCCTTGGTTCCGGCTCTGTCTCGTGGCGGTCTACTCGCTCGTCTTCGGTTCTCGGCTCCAGTTGTGAGGCTGAGATCTACGCCGGGGCCATGGCTGCACAGGAGCTTCGCTGGCTCACCTACCTGCTGACTGACCTTGGAGAGCCGCCTCGTTCTCCTCCAGTGCTGTACGTAGACAACAAGGCTATGCTGGCCTTGTGTCGAGAGCAGCGCTTGGAGCACAGAACGAAGCACATTGCTCTCCGCTACTTCCTTGCTCGTGAGCTGCAGCAGCGTGGTCAGTTGCGACTTGCGTACGTGGCCTCTGAGGCCAACACTGCTGATGTGTTCACCAAGGCACTTGCGCCTTGTGACCATCAGCGCTTCTGCACCCAGCTGGGTCTTGTGCCTGTCTTGCCTCACTTGCTCTCCTCTTGACTTCACTTGTACTGTGACATATATATATATACCTGCTCTTGCTTGTCTAGCTTTATATATATGTCTGTACTCTTGCTTGTGAACTGGCCTTTGGCCTCACTCTTGTGCTCGGACTGTGTGGTGACTTTGTGATCCACCCTGAGCTTTGCTTTGTCTTGCTTGACTGGTCTTGTGACCCCTTGTTCTCCCCCACTTTGCCTATGGGGGTGTGTCAGAACATATCTATAGCTTATACTGCTGTGTAGGCTGTAGTGGGGTATCCCATAGGGGGTACAACCCAGTTAGGGTTTCATATTTGTACTGCTTTCATTCATAGTTCACTCATTCCTGTTTTCCTACTTTCACAAGCTGCGCGGTAACTAGCGTCGAGCGAGCGGAGGTGAGCGATCAAGTCAGCAGAGCGCTCAAACGAGGCGAGATCAGGAAACAGGAACGGGAGGAAAAGACGGCCAAGAGAGACAGTAGCGGGAGTAGAGTAGCGGGCCTTAATCGCAGTGAGGTACGCAGCAGCTGTGCGAACCTGAGTAAAGTGGACCTCCTCTGACTAAGGGAGGAGGCTGCTGAGTGCGATGCAGGCCGCAGCGTCACGCGACGTCCAAGCCGTCCGGTCAGCGCGCTGACGGGCAAAGCGAGCCGTAGCAGCGTCGTCAGGGGCAGAGCCTAAAGCTGTAGGCTCGGGGGGCTCGGGGAGGTCACCAGTAGCGTACGACCAGAGGGTCTCGCCCCCCTGGACCTGACTCTCTAACAGACGGCGAGCGCGAAGAAGCCAGACGGAAAAGTCAAGTGGTCTACCGTGAGCGTCGAAACGAAGAACTCGCGGAGTCGCCATTGTGAGAACTAACGCGAACGAACAGGCGAGTAACAACCGGGGAGAAGAGGCAAACTAGGGTTCAGGTGGGAAGGGGACTCAGTCGCAGCGGAAGAGCGGGCTAGGGCGACTGGCCAGGGCGTAGGGTAGGGCGACGGGCTAGGGCGTAGGGTAGGGCGACGGGCCAGGGCGTAGGGTAGGGCGACGGGCCAGGGCGTAGGGTAGGGCGACGGGCCAGGGCGTAGGGTAGGGTGACGGGCCAGGGCGTAGGGTAGGGCGACAGGCCAGGGCGTAGGGTAGGGCGACGGGCCAGGGCGTAGGGTAGGGCGACGGGCCAGGGCGTAGGGTAGGGCGACGGGCCAGGGCGTAGGGTAGGGCGACGGGCCAGGGCGTAGGGACGGGACAGGGCGACGCGACGGGGCAGGGCGGCGCGATGGGGCAGGGTGACGGGACGGAGCAGGGCGACGCGACGGGGCAGGGCGACGCGACGGGGCAGGGTGACGGGACGGGGCAGGGCGACGCGACGGGGCAGGGCGACGGGACGGGGCAGGGCGACGCGACGGGACAGGGCGACGGGACGGGGGGGAAAGGGCGGGCACGACGTGACGGGGGGAACGGGCGCGACGCGACGGGGGGAAAGAGCGCTAGGCGACGGGGGGAAAGGGCGCGACGCGACGGGGGGGGGGGGGGGGGGGGAAGGGCGCTAGGCGACGGGGAGAAAGGGCGCTAAGCGACGGGGGAGAGGGCGCTAGGCTCGGTACTAGGCGCGGTAACAACGGAACCGGTACGAACGAGAGGTAGGATCAGGCTCGGGAGGGACGAACGGAGAACGGAGGAACGGGATCCCACAGGATCCTAACCTAGCTGATACCATGTCAAAATGAGGAATGATGATGCCATTGATGTTGGTTGGGGTACATATAACAAACCCTAACTTCTGTACCCCCTAAGACAAACCTCACTACAGGCTACAACATTTGACACTTCTCTCTCCTCTCTTGCAGCCCAACCAACCACCCCCAGACCTTTCCTCAAGCATCTCGCACACATCCCGACCCCCTTCTTCATCTCTCACCCTCACAGCCCAACTCACCCAATCACTCTTTTATCTACTCGTGGATCCTATTTTTTCCACCCACTTCTAACTTTTCTCAGCTACGTATTCCTCAGCCCTTTCGCCATCACCATTATAAATAAACCTACAATATACACTCCTCTCCCACCATCCCCTCTCCCCCTATCCACGTTCCTTGCACTTCTCACAACAAGAGTTCCTCCCCTCTTGAAGCACATCTCGTTCAATTTACCTCCCCCCTATGCCCGATTTCGCTTGGTAAGCCCCAAGCAAATATGAGAGGCAGTCATGTACGGTAAGAGAAATGTCTGAAGTCTAGCTTCTCAGACCAGACTAGCCAATGTCTGGCTGGAGTGCCCTGACTGAGAGAGCATGAATTGCAGTGTGTACACATATAGCCCTTCGGTTTGGCAATGTGCTTGTCTCAGCTAAGATTGTGACTTACATTTATGTGGTTTGCACATTCCTAGATGATCAGGAAGAAGGGAATCGGTGCAATTAATGGTAGAGAATGTGCATGGAAGCAAAGAGACTACTTCGAATGAGCACTTCATTCAGAACCTTACTTAGGGTAGGAATGTGCATGTAAGCTTACCGTAGATGCAGCGTTTTCAACTAAAAGCCTTATAAACCTCACTGCACTCCTGTGCCGAAAGCACCTACGATGCACATTCTTCACCGAAGGGGGGACAGTGAAAGGTGGTGGTATCTGAGGGTTTGGTTTGGGGTCGCTTTTGCGAACTCGTTGCTTCGTCAGTTTTTGGTGGCTGTGCTGGATCCAGCCCGTAGACCGACGTGAAAGCAGGATTGTGCTTTGGAGTTTCGAAGGGGATCCCTCCCTGTCCCATCCTCTGACTGCTGCAACCTAGGAGGCCTGATCAAGTTAGCTCCAACAGCTACTGTAGACTGCTAGCTGCATAGTTCGCCGACGTTACGTGTTCCATCATTTCCAATCACTGTTAGCCGCTCGTCTAGAGTACAGTGCCGGCGATCGATTTGCAGGTTAGCGTTTTTGGCACCACTATCCCGTAGTTAATGTCTTACGAAGTGCTCATTGAAGACTTGGGCACACTTGCGGGCGTCAGATGTGGTTTTGACAAAGTTGGTCGCGTGAGATAAGGGTAACCTTGTGTGTGTTCCTTAAACACGCTAGAGGAATACTTTCGAAACATACAGGCTATCACATGGCGTTGTCTCCATCGCCAATTTCATTCGAGCCGAAGATTTCAATGGCAAGATCCTCAGGTGACTAGTCTTTCCACTGTTGTCAAGAGTATTGTTTCCATCCGTGGCTTAGTGAGAGTGTTTCCTTTTTGCAGGCTTTGAAGAGGCTGCATTACGTGTCAATCCACCCAGGTGAAGCTTACCCGCTTATATTTACACAAACACAAAGGCTTTTCCCTTTTCGGCGTTGACTGATGGTTGTGCTGTCACATCCAGGGTTGTTTTTGACAACCATTCTGATCCAGTCTCGACTCTTGTCAAAGTGGATAGCGCAAATAAGCAAGGCTGCCTTCTTCAAGTCGTGCAGCTTCTAACTGACCTTGATCTCGTGATCTCCAAAGCTTACATTTCCTCAGATGGCGGCTGGTTTGTGGATGGTACGTACCTTTAGATCCACGTAATTCGCGTCGTTTCTTCATCATAGGAGCTTTGACACCCTTTCCGTTTTGTCTCTTTCAGTGTTTCACGTTGTGGATCAATTGGGTCAAAAAGTAACTGACAAAAGCCTCATTCGCTTTATTGAAAAGGTAAGCTTCATTCTGTGGTTAGCGTTCTCGCGGACGGACCTCTACTCACATGCTGAAATGCTCTCCGATCGCGTTTGCAGGCACTGGGTGCTTCGAAAGAACATCCTGTTCCCGATGCAAAAACCTGCCTAGGAAAGCCTGTCGCTGATGCAATAGACTTCGAGCATTCCGTCATAGAGCTCACGGGATATGACCGCCCAGGGATTCTCTACGAGGTGTCGGAGGTGTTGACGAAGCTGGGATGCAACGTGGTGGGAGCAGAAGTTTGGACACACAATAACCGCGTAGCTTTTATCCTACACGTCACTGAGGCTAGTAACGGAGGACCTGTTAGTGACGCTGCTGTCTTGGCTGAAATGCGTGAGAGACTCTGCTCTGTGATGGAGTCAAATAGCATCAGGATTGAATCTCGGAGCAGCTTTTTTGTTGGGGAGGCTCAAACTGATCGGAGGCTCCATCAGCTACTATTCGCGGATAGAGACTATGAAACGATGGGCCTCAATGCTTTCCCTGCAGGTGTGGTTGAGGAAAAAGTGCGGCCCAGCGTTTCTGTGGCGAACTCTCCAGAGTCTCAGTACACAATCATCAAATTGACCTGTGTGGATCGACGGAAGCTTCTGTTTGACACGGTCTGCACACTGACAGACATGCAGTACATTATTCACCATGCTACGATCGAGTCTGAGAATGACATCGCACATCAGGTTAGCACTCCTTACGTCACCATGCCTCGCTACTTCTCTGCATTCTGTTATGTTCCTTATGATATTGCTTCTATGCCTGTTCTCAGGAGTACTACGTCAGAACCATGGATGGGTCCATGCTGGACACTGAGGCTGAGAGGGAGCGAGTTGGCAAATGTCTTGAAGCAGCTATTCTGCGGCGCAGCCCAAGGGTGAGCTACATTTCTGGCGCTCTATTGATGCTCTTATATTGAAACCGAGGCGAGGCTAATGATTTTCTCTACTGTCTGCATGTGGCATGGATACAACGTGTTGTGGGATTCCTTCTGTGGCAGGGTTTGTGCCTTGACCTCTGCACTGGAGATCGCATTGGCTTGCTGTGCGACGTCACACGAGTATTCCAAACTCACAACCTCTCCATCACTGCTGCTAATATATGTACACGCTGGGGAAAAGCAGTGAACGAGTTTTACGTCACTGACTCCGCCAATCGCCCTGTTGATTTCAGCATCATTGAGGCCATTCGTCAGGAAATTGGCCCCACAATACTGACAGTTCGCAATGTGGCCCCTCCACTCTTCAGCTCTTCGCCACCTCAGGAGACTCCATTCTCTTTGACAGGATTATTGAGATCCCTTTCTCTAGGGTTTTCCAACATGACAAGGGGAGCTCCGCATTCGTCTAGCTTCACTACAAGGAGGCTCTGATTCCTCGAAAATTGGCTCAAGCTGTAGTTGGGACGGAGGATTTTCCTCTGTACATAAGTGTAAATCATTTGCCTGTAAGGTTCTATACGAACATACCGGTACTACGGTATGCAATTGGTTAAGTGGAGCTAATGCCAGTAACAAACTCCTTTTTGCAGGATGATACATAATTGCAGTTAGCTATCACCACCATTACTGAGGCTTCTACATGGCATTGCATGTCATGTGATGTCAGATTGAAGCTAGCACTAGGTCTTGATATTTACCATGTAAAAAGCACAGCCTGAAGTATTTTCTACACTGAAGCAAACCAATGTCAGCAACACAGATGCCAGCCTCCACACCACACCCCTGTGCGACTTTTTCACAAGTCTGTCGTCCTCCCCTCATTCGTAGGCCTTATCAGTTGGCAACCTCTCTCACTCGGTACACAGATCTTCCTTGAGCCTCGTAGTACGTCCTCATGCACAGCTCCGCCACCAGGCCTAGCCCAAACAGCTGGGAGCATTGATGGGTATACAGAAGAGACGGGAATGATGTGGGGAGACAACAGTACAGGATATATCGGGAGCAACGGCTAGAGAAGGCACAGCATCACACACGCAAACATGGCAAGCCACGGAAAGCGAAGGCAAGAGAGGGGAAGAGCTGGGAAGGCAAGTCAGTGAACGGAAGGAGGGGCAGCAGTGAGGAGTGAGACGCTGCGGGATGAGCCTGGCACTTACAACGAATCCAGCAACAACAAACTCAAGAGACGCCACCAGGTGTGCTGCTCCCACCACCATAGCCATGCCCACCCCGTAGGCTGCAGCCGCCTTGAGCGCCGCCGCGCAGAAGAGGACAAAAAAGACGGCGGCAGCGAGGAGCGTGAGGGCGGCGAGGGGACCGAAGAAGTGCATGGGGCGGTCTCGGAAGCGCGTAAGGAAGGCGACAGTGAGCAGATCCACGAGCACACGGGGCGTGCGAGAGAGATTGTACTTTGACACTCCCACTTGCCGTGGATGGTGCTGCACCTGCGATGGGTGTGGATAGGAGAGGGGGGGACAAGCATATGGGAAACAGGGGACACGAGCACACGCGGTGTGCGTGAGAGGTTGTACTTTGATACCCCCACTTGCCGTGGATGGTGCTACACCTGCAAGGGTTGTGGGCGGGTTGGGAAGAGGCAGCATACAAGAGATAAAGGTACATGGGCACATGCACAGGGAGTAAGTTACTGTATAGACACAAGTCGAAAGTCTTGCTTTCAACCAGAATCATCTACAAAGACACGTGTGAACCGGACGGCAGGCCTTGCAGGCACTCATTTCAAACACTTTCCTTCCCCTCCTCCTCCTACTACTCCCTCTCCCCCCCCCACCCCCCCCTCCCACACCCCAGTACCTCGAGCTCGGAGATGGAGGCGCCTTCCATGGCGGCGAGGGCGGGCAGGAAGCGGTGCAGCTCGCCGTAGAGGCGCATGGAGCGCACCAGCGACCCGCGATACGCCTTCAGACTGCACCCGTAGTCGTGCAGCCGCACCTGCCCGAGGGAGTACGCACAGGGGGGGAACAAGCGGGCGGAGCAGGGAAGGGATCAAACCGGAAACAGAATGGTGCAAGTGGAAAGGAGTGGAAGCATGTCCGTGTGGCAGAAACACCCCTTGAGATGAATAAATAAACCCTCCAAAAGCAGAGGGATGAGTTCTTGTGAGGGAGCATACCCCGGTGACGGCCCCAATGAGCAGATTCGCCACAGCAGAGGGCAGGTTGCGCGAGAGGAAGTCGTCTCTCCGCGCGCGCCGCCACCCGCACACCATGTCATACCCGCCGCCGTCACGCTCCCTGCCCGCCACCCACCGCGCCCCCGCCTCCTGCCCCACGGCGCCCTTGCGGCCCAGCAGCAGCAGGCGCAGCAGCCGCGGAATGTCTGACGGGTCGTTCTGCAAGTCGCCGTCCAGCGTCACTACGAAGTCACCTGGGGGATGTGAGCGGAGGAGGGCGAGAAGAGGGGGAGGGGGGACGGGGGAAGCACGAAGAGAAGGCGCGTTGAGAGACAGAGCGTACGCATGAGAGGGTAGAGGCTGAATATCCGATTCAGTGGAAATGCGAGCACATGAGAGGCGCTTTTACTGTCAGACTGCATGCAATGCAACCACACACTGCTTGCAGGGGGCAGCAGGGCTTTCAGGGGCGCAGCGCTGACCTGCAGCGTAGTCAAAGCCGGCAGCCATGGCGGCCGTCTGGCCAAAGTTACGGCGCAGCACCACCACCCGCAGCTCCGGCCTCTCTGCTGCCATCGCCTTCAGCAGCAGCGACGTGCCTTTTGAGAAGGGGAGAGGAGAGTGGGAACAAGGAAGGGAGGCGGGTAAGGGGGGGTTGTTCATCGCAGCAGCACCACCCTCAGCTCCGGCCTCTCCGCTGCCATCGCCTTCAGCAGCAGCGACGTGCCTGTTGGAAAAGGGAGTGGTGGGAAGAAGGGACGGGGGGAGGGGAGGGTAATGATAAACGGGGAATAAGGGGGTGGGGACGGGGGGATGGAGTTGTGGAGGAGGTGCGGGAGTATGCAACAATTAAAGCAAGAGCAAGACAGTCAGCATCAGCTGAAAGCCTGAAGGTACCTTGCCTTGCTGCCATGCTGCCCAGCTGCCACTCACTCACCATCTGACGACCCGTCATCCACGCAAATCACTTCGTGTGGCCACCCCGCGCGGCTCAGCACGTCGCCGACCCTTTCCACCAGAATCGGGATGCTCCGAGCCTCGTTGAAGAGAGGAATCACCACCGACACGGTCGGCAGGTCCGGCACCGCAGTTATTGGCGAACCTGACGTGCCTGGTGACGTGGCGAGGGCGCTGCGAGCTAAGGATCGGCGGACTGGCATTTGGCGATGGACGGTGGAGGGTGTGCATAGCGAAGAGAGCCGCGAAACGTCAGGTCTGGGGAAGGGAGAAGAAAGACGAATATACGTTTTGTGGCGGAAAGAGGAGTAGCGGAAACACGATTATTGGCTGCAAAAAGGAACAGCCAGCCCTTTCGCATTTGAGACCCTGTCGTTTCAAAACAGGAGAACGACCAGAAAACCCAATCGAGCCAAATGTTTCGCGCTCGGGGGGCAGAGAGGCAGAGCAGTAGAGTAGCGCAGCGCAACCAGATAGACGAAAGCGAGGCGACGCGAAGGTTATGGCACAACTCAGCGCTGCCAGGGTCCCACCTTCGCCAGGAGTCAGTCGGAAAACGGCTGAGGACAGCATCTGGTGCTCTCGTAATGCTAGCAACTGATCGACGCGACGTCCGGACATGGGGCCTTTTTGGAGTGGCTGCGGGATGTTTAGTCTGTAGCTGCTCAACGGGTGAGTGCACGCAATCTAACGCGGCTCGTGCCGCTGACGCCATCACACTCGTCGCGAAGAAGACACTGAGGTTCTACAGTTACTATGCTGTGATTGTTGACGGGATATACAGGTAAAGCTGCATCGTCGACAACGTCTGTTTCAAACGAACTCGCGCCCTTTCGACCACCGAACAGCGGCTTCAGTTACTTCAGGTTCTCGAGACCTCAGGCTCGAATAAGTGACGATCACACCAAAAAGGTATCATACCTGTGCTAGGTTTTTATATGTAGGGCACAAACAGTTTCCGAATGAACTCCTTGCGAGTGGCTGGGACGGTTGCTTGGCGAAGACACAATCGAGTTGAGCGAGATGTGCCGAAGACAACGTGGGATTGGCTGAGAATCAAAGGTGGTGGCGAAAACAACGCAGTAACCTGAGTCTCGTTGACACGAAAGATGCTGCACACACCGGGACCTCCCGCGCTTGTCGCGCACACTTCGCGGCTCGTTGGTTCTTTCCCGCCAACACCTTGCCTCACTTGATACGTCTAACGGAGGTGAGTACACTATCGAGGTTGGAATAGAGTGTACAGACAAGCCGTAGCTGAGATTTATAGAAAAGAACTACCTGTATTTGCCAGCATCGTAATCACTAGCTGCAGTAAAAAAATTACTACGCTTGTTAGGCCCGACGGCCTAAGTCCGCTAAAGAATTAGCGGGGTCGACTAAGTCGAGGATGAAACGCGGCGGAAGACTTTGGCGAAAGAACTATTGGCGAAATAGGCGAGGTTACTGAGTAATTGAAAAAGAGTTGAATGAGAATTGATTGATAATGGCAAGAACAAGCAAGGTTGATATAGCATGCAAGATCGAATGTCAGAAAGTACTTCGTGGGACTAGGAATTGAAGGCAAGAAAGGTAGAGTGCCACGTGGCACTAGGAAATCCAAGAAGATAAGGATAAGGATGAGTTGGATGGGTTGGGGAAGTACTGTTCAAAGGGAACAGTAAATTCCCCCTTAACACTACCCACCTCCCAAGGAGGCGACGTCCGCGGCGCCTGCAGACTGAAGGTACGCTTTGAGGCAAACGTTGTCGGGAGACAGCGAGGACGAAGGAACCCAGCTGTCGTCTGTGTGTCGTAACCACGCCAACGAACCAAGAAATCGATGAAAGGGACACCCTCCTGGAGA